GACCAGACTCCAGCTTCAGCCTCAGCCTTCATGGTGTGGTCCCCCTGCATTAGAAGGTTGAGAACCACTGCTCTAAAGCTGTCTGGAAATAGGACTGGGCACATCAGCCCTGTGCCTCACTGTGGCTCAGGGCTAATCAGAAGCAGTGGTCCAATGCCACATTGCAGATCAAGCCAATGGCCTGCCATGAACTCCCCTGTGGTCTTGCCAGGATCCTGCCTCTGAAAGACAACAAAAGGCAGAAGGGGTATAGAAAACCCTATAGAGAAAATGTGACGACGGTATTCTTTCTCTGTCTCTCTGTCTCTGTTTCTGTCTCTCTCTCTGTCTCTCTGTCTCTCTGTCTCTCTCTCTCTTTCTCTCTCTCTCTCTCTCTCTCTCTCTCTCTCTCTCTCTCTCTCTCTCTCTCTCTCTCTCTCTCTCGATTCTCTTCATAGTCCTGGCTGTCCTGGAACTCACTCTGTAGACCAAGCTAGCTTTGAATTCAAGAAACCCTCCTGCCTCTGCCTCCAAGTGCTGGGATTAAAGGCAAGTGCCACTTTGCTTGCTGAATGTGTTTTCTCAAGTGAGGTTTCTCTTCCCATATGAGTCTAACTTGTGTCAAGTTGACAAAACAAACTAACCAGGACAATGTATATAACACCCTCTTCTGGGCCCCACAGTCATACCCCCACACACATGTGTCATGCAGAAACACGCATCCACACAGATAGATAGGTAGGTAGGTAGGTAAGAGAGGGTAGGTAGATGATGAATAGATAGATAGATAGATAGATAGATAGATAGATAGATAGTAGGTAGGTAGACCTCCCTCTGCTGTGAGAACTAAAGAACCAAATCTTATTTCCTCTTCTTCCTTCGAGACAAGCTCCTAGTACATACTATGGGCTGGGCTCTAACTCAAAGTCCTCCTGTCTGGATCTTCTAAGTGCTGGGATTGCAGTCATGTACCACCATACTACACTCAGAAGTTTTTAGATATAGTGTTTGTACATGGGTATGCAGAACAGAGCAACAATTTAGTTTATGTATTCAATATGTAATTCTCAAATTAGTATAATAAGCTGTTCCCAAGCTGGGTATGAGACATGCCTATTATCTCAGCACATAGGAGATGGAGGCAGGGGGATCAGGCGTCTGAGGTCATTTGAGGCCAGCCTGGGCTACAAAAGATCCTGTTTCAGAAAACTAAAAGTACTTCTGTTCTCCTTAGACATTAATATTAATAATTCCTATGTACTGGTACTTTTACAGCTATTCTGAAATATGTCACATAGGCTGAGCATGTAGGTCAATGGAAGAGTTCTATCCATCATATACAGGCCTTGGGTTTGACCCCCAGCACCACAAAGGAAGAAAAGACAGAACTACACTATGGACTATTAGAAGCAACAGTTATCCTGCTGTGCTCCAGAAAACCAGAACCAAGGTGCCTATCATTGGATAAATATGATATATATACACAATGGAATATTAATTGGTCTTAAAGAAAAAAACAAAATTATATCATTTGCATTATGTTAGTGAAACAAGCCAGGCATGGAAGTCAGTTAAGTCCCACCAACTCCTTTTATGAGTAAGGCAGGAGGTGGGCATGGCGACATATGCCTGTAACACAAGCCCTCATGATGTAGAGACTGGAGGATTTTGAGTTTTCAAGGCCAGCCTAGGCTACATATAGAGTATCAGTCTAGTGAGCGCTACACAACAAGAGACTATCAAAAAGGAAAAAGAGGAGGAGGAGGGAGAGGAGAAAGAAAGAAAGTGGGTGGGGCAGTATGCTAGTGTTTGTGAACTCCCTGACGTTTATGGAACTCACTTTCCTAGAAACGGGTCGGGTATCTTCTGCTCTTGGTAAGCCCCTCTACCCTGTTATCTTGTACTTAATCCCAACTTTCGCTGCAAGGTCTCTCAAGTATAGTTAAGGAGAAGGGTGTGATTCAGTGGTAGAGCACTTTTATAGAATTTATAAGGCCCTGGGTTCAACGTGTGTGTGTGTGTGTGTGTGTGTGTGTGTGTGTGTGTGTGTGTAAATTTGGACAAAGTCTATTAAGGAAGTCTTTTGTCCCACAAAACATCTGAGGCTGACTAGAATACAAATAGTATTGGCATACTGTTGAGAGGAGATGCACCATGGTAAGCATTTAGTATTAATGTATATTATATATATACACATATACATTGAATACATAAGTGCATGCATATATATGGATTATTTATATAATTTTATTATATATAGTTATATAGATATATAATTTTTATTTGTTTACATTCCTTGAGATAGGAATTTAGATATCCCAGGCTGGTCTCAAACTTGATACGTAGCCAACGTCAGTCAAGGCCAATTCTTAATCCTCCTGACAATTTATTTAATTGGTCGGGCTCCTTAACTAGATTGCCTGAGAATGGGAATGAAATGTGAGTTTCTTTTCTCTTTCAAAAACGAAACCTCAGCCGGGCGGTGGTGGCGCACGCCTTTAATCCCAGCACTCGGGAGGCAGAGCCAGGCAGATCTCTGTGAGTTCGAGGCCAGCCTGGTCTCCAAAGCGAGTTCCAGGAAAGGCGCAAAGCTACACAGAGAAACCCTGTCTCGAAAAACCAAAAAAAAAAAAAAAAAAAAAAAAAAAAAACGAAGCCTCAAAGCAAGACATTTGGAGGGGGGCAGGTAGGGATGTGACTCAGTTGATACAGTGCTTGCTTGCCTCGCATGCATGGAGCCCTGGGTACTGTCTATCCCTAGAACCGCAGAACTGGGTGAAGACACATCTTCCTGTAATCCCAGCACCTGGGAGGTATGGCTAGCAGGACCGGGAGTTCAAAATCATCCTTGGCTGTGCAGTGAGTTACAGGCCAACCTGGCCTGCACGAGCCCCTGGTTGGGTTGGGTTGTTTTCCTTTTAAGACAATCACAGAATGTTGACCATTAACTCCTGGGTTCAGGTGAGTATCATGTCTCAGTAGTGGGACGATAGGTGAGTACCAGGTAGCAGTCTTCTAACACACACACACACACACACACACACACACACACACACACACACACACAAGTCAAACCTTTCCCTGAGCACAGGCAGGAGAATGAAACTTATGGGGAAAAGCATTGAATGGCTCAGGGGACACTTGGAATTTCAAAGGGAAGTGCTCACTCCTGCTCTTCGAGACTTGGGTTTCTCCCTCCATATATACAAATGGGAATGCACCCCACACTCTGTGCATTGTGCAGAAGTCAAAATGATGCCCATCAGGGTGTGAGTGCTGTGGAAAGGTCCCCTCACTGGGCATCTCATGCCTACCACAATGTACCTCCTCTCTATAGCTTCCAATGTCATCTGTAATTTGTGAGCCCCAGAGGGTTCATGGGACAAGAGACTTCCTCCTGAGACTTTGTCTTTTAGCAAAGAGAAGCCACAGAGAAGCTGTGACAGGGTCAGAGGCCCCACAGCTCTGCTCTGTGTATCTCTGACCCACACGGGTTAGAAGATAGGCAGTGTGGTATACGTGCCTGGTCTCTGCCCATCTCTGGCCCCTTTCCTGAGGAATGCAGTCTCCATTAGGCCGGGCCCAGGGCTCCTGCTGGGAGCGTCCATTCCACTTCTCATTTCCTCCATTTGCAATCACTATTTATTTATCTTTGGAAGTTGAAGGAAACAGAGCCTGCCACAGGGATTGAGCAGGGAACCCAGCGAGGGAAAGCTGAGAAAGCAAGCTAATGTGTCTGCTGCAGTCAGGCCAGGGAGAGAAGCTGCTTCCCTGCAAAGGAGATGCTCAGAGACTTGGCTCACAGACCACCATGGCAGAAAAGGCACTGGACACCCCAGCAGGTCCAAAGTGGGGTCACTCCACTGGTACAGAAGGGTGGGGAGCAGTTCCACCCCAGCCCTGACGCTGCTACCTAGCAGTGAGGTGAAGAGACAAAAAGGTCATCTTTTGTGGGGAAACTGAGAAGGTGGCACCCGGGTCCTCTGACCCCGGCCTTCTTTTCCGTTGGCCCTGCAGCACATCTGTCACCAGCTGTTGGTTGTTGTTCCTGCTGCTTTTTGAGGCAGTGTCCACTGGGCACTTTCATTCCCCTGCCCAATTGTCAGAGTCAGATCCTACCCGCGACTGGACACTTCCTCCTTCTCATGCCACAGTCTACACTCATAGACAATGAGACGAGCAGGACCCAATAGATTACACTCCCCTCGGTGTTATGTGCTGTGTTCAAAGTCAAACAGCTAATAAAAGGCATTGCTGGGCCTCCAAACCTAGACTGGGATGCCCTGACTCCTGGTACAGGCTCTGCCCACACCCTATTACAGGTCCCTGGGCCTTCTCTTATTTTTCTCCTTTCATTTACTGCCTCCCACGCCCCAAACACACACACACACACACACACACACACCACACCACACCATGCCACACCAACCTTCGCTAACAGGGGGCTAACTCTGGCAGCGTCTGCCTTAGCCTTTGACCTCTCCTTGGCCTAATGACATGCACCTCCTGCTGGGCAAGGTCACTGCTCACAGGGTAAGGTCTATGGCCTCCTTGTCTCGGACTTGCGTCCTCCTGCTGTGGCCTCGGTCGAAATTTGGGGGTGGGAACAGTACTGTGAGAGTCAGCTTTAGATCGGCCCATCGTGTCAGGGGCCAAGAACGACCTTAATTCTGAGCAAAGCTCAACCCCCTAACATGAAGCACCCAGACAACCGAGACCAAGCCCGGAACTTCAGCAAAAGTCCTAGTAGGAACAAGGGTGTAGGCGGATGACAGGGTTTTGTTAAAAAGTAATGGTTGCCTTGGAGGTCTGAGCTGGGTTGTGGCGAGAAAGGGTCCTGGCCCGTAGAAAGAGTCGGGATGGAAAAATAGTCTTGGTGCAGGGAGAATGGGAGAGGGTGGCTGTCCAAGCCGGCTTCCAGGCTTGCACTTGAAGGAGGGCAGCCGCCTAGCTGCGCATCGGGCGGCGCTAGGGCCTCGCAGAGTGACGAGGCGGTGAGGGAGGCGGGCGGGGGCTGGCGGCTGGAGCGGCGCGGCGCCGAGCTGCCCCCATCCATGGCACGGAGCTGCGGCGACAGCAGCGGCCGGAGCCAGGCGCGATCCGCTAGGTCTCAGCCGCGCGCACAGCGAGCCGGCGACGCGCAGGGGCCGGGCTCCCGTCGGCTCGGAGCGCTGCGCTGAGACTCGGGCCGCTCCGCCGGGGGCCACCCGCGCTGCGCTGTCAGTGGCGCCCGCGCCCCGCCGGGCCCCTGTGCTCGTAAGCCATGCCCCCGGGGCGCCGCAGCGGGGACCCCGAGGCTTGCCTCCGCCCAGGGCCCCCCGCCCCGCCCTCGGGCGCCCGGGGCTCCCGCTGAGCACGCCTCCAGCACGCCCGGGTCCCTCCGGCCGGCGCGCCGTCTGGCTCCTAAGCTGTAGGTCCCCGCGGGGCGATGGGTTGATGGGCGCTGGGGGACGCAGGATGCCGGTGCCGCCCGTGCGCCTGCCGCTGCTGCCGCCGCCGCTGCTGCTGCTGTGTCTTCTGCTCCTGGCTCCCGGAACTCGGGGTGCGCCTGGCTGCCCGGTCCCCATCCGCGGCTGCAAGTGCTCTGGGGAGCGGCCCAAGGGACTAAGTGGCGGCGCCCACAACCCGGCTCGAAGGAGGGTGGTGTGCGGCGGCGGGGACCTCCCCGAACCTCCGGACCCCGGCCTTCTGCCAAACGGCACCATCACCCTGTGAGTACCCTATGCCCGATCAGGACAACGAGTGGGACCCAAAAGCAGGGGGGCGATCTTGCCACTTGAGAGACTGGGTAAAGTTTGAGTCCAGGCATCAGCCGGGAAACTTGAGTTAGAGGAAGGATAGGAGTTTCGGGAACCAGGGTGTGCCCCAGAGAGAGAGGCACCGCGGAGTCCTCTCACCTGCACAGGTGAAGTGCGAGTGGGCGCTGGAAGGACATCCGTGTTCCTTGTCCCAGGTGGGCTAGCATTGCAGCCTTAAGGGGCCCTGAGCTGGGTGGGAGTGGGAAGGCTGATCCGGGCCAGGGGCCCCCTAGATGGCTGTGGTTCTTACTGAGGCTTCGGAACCCCCACGAGGGCGGGGAGGGGGCATCCTCCTGGACTCAGCTGGCGAGCCTGGACGCTAACTGGGATAACTTGAGTCTGCGGTGCCCCGCCCCGGGCCTGCGGAGCTCTGCTCCCAGCCGGGCTTCAACTGGGCAGGAGGAGAGTGAGCTCCGCTAAGCCTGTCCTTGGAATGCTGGAGCTTCTGGTCTGAATGAACCCTCCTGCTCCCCCCTCCGCGTCCCAGTTCCCTCTTGGGCTCTCTCCCGCTGTCCACATTTGGGAAGTGAACTCGGGTTGGGCAACGGGTTCTGGTCTATTCCTTTGCTCCCCCTGGAAATAATTCAGGCCTTGACTGTTTATCGATTGACTTAATTGCTCAAAGATTTGGTAGAACAACCCAGTTGAAGGGAGGCACGTGCCTCCCGGCTCCCTCCAGTGTTCTCCTTTCTTCTGGGGCCCGATTCAGCACTGGTCACGAGCGCCTGTGCTCCTTAACTCGAGTCTCAAGTTCCGGCAACCGCACGAGGAGAGCCTCCCGCACCCCAGCGGCTTCCTGTGCTGGCCATGTGCTCCAAGCTCCACGCACGACGTGGAGTTGAGGGTCGCGCCCTAGCGGTGGCTCCTTGCTTTCCTGTTCAAGATCCAGCCTAAAAACCGCCTCCCCTTCCCTGTCATCCTGACCCCGGAGCAGAGGCAACCGTTTCTCCAACCACCCCTAGCCCAGAGCTGAGGCTGGCTTCATCTATTCGATTGTCCCCAGAACAATACAGTAAGTCCTCTGGTGGGTTCAGAGGCTGCCGGCTTCCTGACAGGACACAACTGGTCAGCCTGTGATGTTAGCCAGCTGGCCTGCATTTTCTCCAGCTGGGGTGTGTGCATGCACACGCCTGTGTGCCTTTGAGTGGAGGCGGCATTTCTTCCCTGTTCAGCCTCCATGCAAGCTCTGGGGGATGGCAGTGGCTGCTAAGACTTTTCACAGTAGGTCTGAGTGTCCAGTAATGCTAAGGGTCCTAGAAGGCTTGGGCATTCCCAGCCTACTTAGTTAGGGAGGCGCAAAATGCTTTGCCCGTGAGCACTAGCTGGGCTGATGTTTGTGTCACACAGCTGCACAGTGATGGTGCAGCTGGGGGTGGAGGTGATTTGTGTAACCGCACATGCTCCTGAGGCTCAGCACACTCACATGTGTGGGAGCTGTCTCTTGTATGTCTGTTGGTGGGGATTAGGGAATCCTAACATGGTCAAGGCAGAAGGAAGGGAGGGGAAAAAAAAATAGAAAAGTGATTTTGCAGTACATCTTAGAATGATTTGGCAACTAATGCGTTCCAGCCATGGCTAATTCCCATCGACGCCACTCAAAGGAGTGAGACCAGCTCTTGGTGAGAATATATCATGACAATGTAGCAGCAGACTCCACGTAACTTACTTTCCTGCCCCAGCCTCAAGCCCACCCTTAAGGAAAGGCTCCCCTCCCCTCTCAGGCCATTCACCTAGCTGGCTCACAATACCTTCTGAAGAGACTGGTCCCCACCTGACTGAACAGTGCAAAGGACAGACCAGGGAAGCCCACTCATCCATCAGTCTGGAGTGGGATGGACTCTGCATCTCTCTCCAGATGTTTTTCTTAGCTTTCCCCATTTATGATCCTGATGGTCCCCCCCCAACCCGGGCCAGCAGCCTCTGAAGGGAAAAGACCCAGGGGTCTTCTCAGCAGAAGGTAGGCGAGCATTCCTCAGTCCAAGCACACTGTCGCACCCCAAAATGCATCTTGAGATGAGAAAGAAAGGCTGTCAATGGGGTGCTGCTCCCCCTTTCCATGCCAACAGGGTGGAAACCCCCTTATAAGTGGGGAGTCATGGTAGGTGCGGGGTCGTGCTTGTAATCCCAGAGGGCGGTGAGTTCCAAGCCATTCTGAGCTACATAGGGAGACCCTGTCTCAAACAAAACAGAACATTCATTTCGCCCTCTCTAACTCCTCTGTGTTCTTTTTTTTTCCACACAGATTTTCCCTTTCATTTTTTTTTTTTTTAGCTTGTCACCCGGGTTGAGCGGCCAGACTTGAGCCAGCTGCTTTTACCTTGTGGCTGTGTCCTCCCTCGCAGACATTTGCTGCAGTCCCACTGAGGACCTTCTTCTCCTCTCCAGAATGGGTCCCCCAGCTCCCAGTCACAGAAACCCTCAAGATAGAAGCCTGGCAGACACTTAGGGCTAGGACTCCAAGTGCCAGATAAGGTCCCTGTCTGCTAGTGGGGGCCTCCCTTGCACAGTCCTGTTTACCTCATTGAAAAAAATCCTTCCTCCGCCCGCCGCCCGCCCCGTTATCTCAACCCCTGCCGTCTGTTTTTGCAGACCGCAGGTCCCCTCTCCCCCACCCTTTGCTTTGTGTCCTCCATGGTGGACTTTCATTTGCAGTTTTCCAGGAAAGCAGAGCTCTTGGCTTCCTTCCTGATCCATTTCTCACCCCACCCCCCAGCCTCACAGCCCTGTCTGCTGGGCAGCTGTGGGTACAAATGCCCCAAGCGAGCGGGAGCCCTTATGAGCCCTCTCTCTGAGGGGAAAGGTCCTAGGGTGGGTGGCTTATGGTGGGGAGGGTTTTGCTGGGAGTGGGAACCTCTCCAACCTGGGCAGTGGCTGAAGGCCTGCTTTCTGGTCCTTAGCTCTGAGAGTTAGAGGGGGAGGAGGCTTGAGAATAAGGGATTCCAGGAAGGACTGATAATAGATATCTGCCGAAGGAAATCTCCCCAGGAGGACCTCAGAGGACACCAGCCAGTGCCATAAATTCCCACTTCGTCTGCACTGACAAGGGTCTTAGGAATCAGCAAGCCTGGGCCCACATCTTAAGGCTTTGTAGCTAAGGCTGGAGATATTAGAGGGATCGCTAGGTGGATCAGTGTGGGATTAACTGAGTCTAAATGTTTCTGCCAGATGAGGGTCTTGCTATTTGGGATCCAGTGGACCCAAACTCTATATTTAAAATCCATTTAATTTTTTCTCCAGCAGGACCAAAGCCTTCTTAACCTGGAACCATTTCAGGCTGAGTGAGGAGGGAGCAGGCATGGGCTAAGTCACTGCTCATCCCCCCAGAATAGCAACCTGCTCAGCCTACCACAGACGCTCCTGTAAAGGGCAGAAGGGCCTGTGTGCACACATGTGCCCAGCTCTAGCTGGGGTGCTCATGCTGGGCGTCTGATGGTCCTGGGTAGGGAGAGGTAGGGGGAAGCCCCTCATGGATGGACCCTGCCGATCCTCCTGCCTCAGGGAGGTGGCTCTTCTGCAAAGATCTCCCTTGGGGACTCTCAGCTCTGGCTTGGGACTCAGGCAAGGCAACCACCAGAATCTAGTTAGGAGAGTGTGGGGCAAAGTGTGCCAACCACCAGGCACACAGCCTGAGGGCAGTGGAAAGATGCTGGCTGGAGGGGCGGGCCCAGCCTGCTTCCCCACCCCCTTCTCTTCTACCCTCTTTCCCCCATATGGTTCTCATAAGGTCTGGGCTCCGAGACAGCGGCCAGAGGAAGTGGCTGTGTACAGAGAGCTTTTGTGAGCAGGGGAGGGGGAGGGGGAGAGTGGAGAGAAAGAAGGAAAGGAAGGAGGGAAGAGGCCGGAGATGGAGAGATGCGGGAGGTTTGAGTCTAGCACACTCCCAAGCCCTCTAGGGTGAAGGTCTTATTCCCACCTCATGAGCCCCTAGACCCCCTTGCCTATCCCAAGTGAGGAGAGGGGAGGAATCCCAGGGCCTCCCTGACTCCTCCCATCCACCTTCATGAGGGGCTGTAGATGGCCTGCCCAGGTGCCAGAGATTTTTGACTGCCCCTGCTCTGTGGCCTTGAGAACGCCTATCCTCCAGACTCCTGGTGCCAGATATTAGGGTACAATGCATGGCCCTGTTTCAGGGGAGCCCTGTGAGGAAAGCAGAACCCCCCCCCAGGATTTGGATTGCATTATTTACTGCACTTAAGAGATTGAGACCCCTTAGGCCAGGTCCCAAAGACGTACATATACTTCAGCCCCAAATGGTACCAGGATATGGTTAGGGAAGTCTATTTGCTTGGATTAATCAAGACATGTGCATGGACTCTGAACCCTAAGGTCCCTTTTTGTGGGCTCTCGTGGAATTGGTGAAGGGTGCGACAGCTTAGTCCTTGATGGTGACTCTGAGAATCTACCCACCACATGCCAGCAAACTAGTGTAACATGAACCTACTGTCGGTTGACTCTTAAATTTGGGGTCATATTGTTCTGTTTGTAAACGTACCCCACACGTGTGTCATCGGGATAAGACCCTCTTCTGCCGCTTCTAAGTTGGTCCAGGTCTTTCCTCTCAACTCAGCCTCTGTCTGCTTCCTCGCCAAAGCCCAGAGAGGGTAGGGGAGCTCCCCATGATCACACAGTTAGCCCAGAAGCAGTGACTCTCCCATCACCCCTGAGGGAGAGGCGGGCCAGGGAGTAGAGGGAAAAAGAGAAGGGAAATGGCCCCGAGCTGAGGGACCATCAGGAAGGGCCGCTGAGAGGGGCTGTTTATTTTCATTCCCCCCGCCTGGCTGCTGTGTTCTATTTAGGGCTCAGACACTGACAGGACGGAGTTGCCTCCTCCCCTTCCTCCCTCCTCCGAGGGGCCCCCATCCTTCCCAAACTCCAGAACATTCCTTTGCTTTCAGGACTGGACCACGGAGGGA